GGGCGGGCCGCTGCTGGTCGGCGCTACCGCCCACACGCGGGTACCGTCCTCTTTACCTCCCGCCACCTGGAAATTATAAGATTTTGTGATAAAAATAGGTTTATTTATCAATAAAAATGAAGTAAACAATTATACTTTTTGTTTACTATTAAATATTTAAGTTTTATTGCAGATATCCCTAGACTATCGCTTTTTCTAAACTTTTTTGGATTTCAATTTCACTAAATAATTTCGTAATTTGAAAGACTTCATTTTATTATTTACATTTGTGAAATATTATACTTGCAAATGTCATAATTCAAATGCACAAATGACAAAGAAGGTCTTTCACATTGGATAACAAAATACCGTTACCATGGAAACCTTGAGACTTTTATGTTGTCAACTTGTATTTTATGGTCCCTTTCCCACATTAAGGTTTTCTCCAATTGATCTACCTCTAAGTTTAAAAGCTTGAAAATATATAGCCTAAAGCGTGTCGTAAGTGTAGGGCTTTTTATTAAAAAAATAATTATTAAAAACATGCTGTAATTGCTGACATCTTAGGCAACAAAGAAGTGTGCGTTTACGTAGTGTACAGTTTACTATAGATTCGACTTTAAATCCTTTTTCTAACATATACTATTTGCATTATTAAGTCATTGAATGTATTTAAAAAAACATACTTTCATACGTAGCAGCACTCGCTTATCAGGTCTAACTTTGGCGGGCACTGGCAGCGGGCTGGGCACGCCGGAGGGCCGTCTCCCGGTCACGCCCCCCGACACGCCCTCCGGCCCGCCGGCGGGAACTGTCGCTCCCGACTTGTGCGTCAGAGGTGGAGGCTCCAATGGTGGGGAGGTTGACTTTCTGCAGTTCTGTAAACACATGGAATTATGTATGTATGTTATCTTATTTTTTACTTCATACTAATATTATAAATGCGAAAGTTTAGATGGATGGATGTTTGTTAGAGTTTATAGCCTAAACGGCTGAATAGATTTCGATGAAATTTGGCATAGACGTAAAGGATAGTCTGGAAGAATACATATCCTACTCAGTTTTATTTTCTTTCAATTCCACGCAGACGGAGTCGCGGGCGAAAACTAGTACATTATAAAATAGATTTTGCTTTGGACTTCGTTCGCGTGAATTAAAAAAAATAGGATATGTTACTGACTGATAACATAACTTTCTAATGGTAAAGAATATCTGAAATCGGCCCAGTAGTTTTTGAGTTATCTCCATACATATAAAATTTTTCCTCTTTTTAGTATAGATATAAAAGTCTAGATGGATGGAAAATTGTTAGAAGTCATGTCCGGAAATTTGACATATGGAGAACTTTCAGAAACCCTGCTACCATATGACTTATCATAGTAGATTCGCCATTTCAGCGAATAGCTATACCTTGCATAGGAAGTTACTGGGTGGTATCTGTGAGTGCGGCAGTCCTGCACACGCGGGGTGGTACAGACAGAGACAGGCGGCGCAGGCGAGCGAGGGCACCGCGCCGCGCCCGCACGACATTGAACACGGCTCTACTACGCGACGTGCGCTCTGCTATACATATACATACACAACATGATTACGAAATGGTCTTATAATCTATTTTTTATTTATTTTATATTCATATTTATCACACCTATTGAAAATACGATCTATAGCTTAACCAATATAAAAATCCTGCCCTTTAAGATACTTCAATTGGCTTTATTAAATAAGTTTCTAATACGCGTGAATACATTAGTTTCTATATTTTTTGTTGCACAAAAATATTCGCGAATATTTTTATATTCCTGGACATATGTCACTTGATATCTAATGATCTGCTTAATATAATTCATACTTATGTAACTTCAAAACTTTAGATGGAGCGATCTTTGTAAGTAAATATTTTGAAAATGGCTTTAAGAATATCAAAGAAATTTGTCACAGATAAAGACTACTTAGGGCCTGTCCCACAATTCTTG